TATGTGTCTGTTTTTGTGTGCTGTTTTTGTTACTATAACTGTGTAATATAATTTAAACTCGGGTATTTTGATATCTTCCCTGTTGCTTTTTTGCTCAGAATTACTTTGGCTATTCAGGATTTTTTTTGTGCTTCCATGTGAATTTCAGGATTGTTTTTCTACTGGGATTTTGATGGGGATTGAGTTGGATCTGTAAGTCCATTCAGTATTGTAGCCATTTTCACAATATTAATTTGCCATTTCTTGATCATGGGGAGGTGGTTCCATTTTCTGGTGTCTTTTTAGGGTTTATTTTTTTCAGTGTTTCATAGTTTTCATTATAGAGATCTTTCAACTCATTAGTTAAGTTTATTCCTAGGTATTTTATCTTTTGAGGCTATTGGGAATGGGAGTATTTTCCTGATTTCTTTCTCAGCCTGCTACTATTGGCATATAGAAAATGTTTGATTTTTGTATGTTGATTTTTTTTCTCCTGCTGCTCGGCTGAAAGTGTTTATTAGACATAAGAATTTTCTGGTGGTGTGTTTAGGGTCTTTTAAATATAGGATCATAATCGTATCATCTTTCCTGACTGTTCTTGGGTGTTTTCTGTATGAATGTTGGTATCATCTTACCTATCTGTAAGAAAAAATGGTGTTTTTGTTGGAATCCCAATAAATTAATAAATTAACTTAGATAAAACCAATACGTAGATGGTTTTGAGAAACAGTATTCCAGAAGGAAGAACTTTCCATTTGACATCTTTATGAAGTGTTTTTCATTTTCTCAATATGGAGTTTTGCACATTTCTTGTTCAGTTTATTCTATCATGTTGTAGCTTTGTGCTGTCATTTCGTTTCTTTCCATTACACGTTTTCACCAATTGTTATTTGTTTATATGAAAGCTGTTATTTTTGCATGTCAATTCTATATCCTGGTATCTTGCTGAATTTTTATTGAATTTCTGTTTCTCTTGATTTGCATGTTTAATTTCTTTAAGAAATCACCTCTTTTAGTTGGTTATATAGTTATAATCTGCTAATAGAGCTAGTTTTTATTACCATATTATTGTCATACTGTGGGGATATTGTGACATTTACAAAAGTTCATAGTTGAATTCACCCCTCCCCTCATTCCTGGAGTAGTTTTGACAGGTCTCATTTTTTCCATTTTCATACATGAGCACATACCTTTATTTCCTTTTTTCCAATTCCTACGTTTCTGCTTTCTTTTGTGTAATTGCATTGTCTAGTAAATAATCCCAGTACAATTTTGCCTTAATTTTAACTTTAGTGGGAATGCATTTAGTGTTTTCTTATTTAAGTAAGATACTGACTTTAGAAATCAGGTGTGTGTGTGTGTGTGTGTGTGTGTGTATTAGAAAGGTATAAATATGTACATTTAAGAAAATATCATTGAAGTATTTTTCAATGTGCACACTAACTATCCTCCATCATCTATCATCTATCTATCTGTCATTTATCTATTTATCTATGTATCTATCATCTACTACCGCTCTATCATCTGTCATCTATTTATGTAGCTATCAACCATCTATCATCTATCTATTTAGTACATATGTATGTATGTATCTATTATCTATGTATCTATGTACCTATCATCTATCTATCTCATTATCTATCATCTAGGGTTTTTTCTTTTGTCTCATTTAATTAATTTTTGCCTAAACCAGGAAGGCAAAGCCTCTTCCTCCTGCAATCTCTCTCTCTAGCGCCCTCTACTGACAAAGCCTGACATCACTGAGCCCACCGGCAAAGCAAAAATGTGGAAAAGGTTCAGACCCATTCTGGCAGAGCAGCAGTGAAGAGAGGATTTGAGGCTGAGAAGCAGTAAACTGACAACTAACATGCCAAAATATGTTGTTATTATTTTTGTTTTAAGTAGTTGTTTATATTTTTGAAATATTATGTATTTCTTGCCCACATATTTACCCTTCCTCGTGCTTTTTATTCTAAGTCCAAGGGTTCATCCAGAATCATCTTTCTGCCTAATGAAGTACTTTTAGACTTACTTAATGAAGATGATACATCTTCTCAGCTTTTGTTGGTCTAGAGATATCTTTACTCTGTCTTCATTTTTGAAGGATTGTTTTTGACTTTTTTACTTTCTTTTTGGAAGATGACAATTTCAGGTGATAAGGCAACATTGAAGCCAGAGGTCGCTTGTCGTTTCACTTGCATTACTATAGATTTTACAGTATGCAGGGAGGATGCTTATGAAATTCATATCCGATCAGCCACCAGTACCCTAGGCTTGACCAGAACTTCATTCTGAGATTTTAAAATGATAATTGATTTGTAGGGGAAGCTAGCATTTTCAATAGTTTTATGAGTTTGACAGTTTTTTAAAAAAAGTCAAATTTTTCTATGTTGTTGACTGTATCAATATTTCTTTACTAGTTCTGAATTTTTAGCATTCTAAGATAAGTCTTATTATGAGATAATTTTTAAAACATATCTACTTCCTGTTATGAGTTCAATTTTTATACTTAATTAAGTCTTTGGTCCCTCTGGACTTGATTCTGATGTGCACAAATGATTCACCCTCTACTTTGTACTTCAACTGGCTACCTGGTTGTCCTCCAACATTTTAAATAAATGTTTTAACACAATTTGTTTCCCCACTGATTTGAAGTGGGACTTCTAACTTATTCTAAATTTCCATTAGTAAAAAAGCAGACTCTGAAGTTATATTGTACATAAACAGAATAGAGATGCATGCACACATATTTGTTATATTCAATGGGTTGGAATTATGGAAAGGAAATTTATAAATGCTGTGTTGTTTTGTTTAAGTTATAAAAATGAACAATGTGGCCAGGTGTGGTGGCCTGCACCTGCCATAGGATGATTGTGGTCTGGGCAGGTCTGGGCATAAAGCAAGACCGTGGCTCCAAAATAACCCAAGTAAGCCAGGCACTGGTGGCCCATGCCTGTAATCCTAGCTATTTGGGAGGCTTAGATTGGGAAGATCCCAGGTTGAGGCCAGCCAGGGTAAGGAGTTAATGAGACCCCATCTCAACCAACAACTGGGTGCAATGGTGCATGCCTATCATCCCAAGCTATAAGGTTGGCTAAGATTGGGAGGATCATGGTTCAAGGCCAGCTTGCACAAAAAAGTGGGCAAAAAAAGATCACAAGACCCTATCTCAATGGGAAAAAGCTGGTTGTGGTTGTATGTGCCTGTCTTCCCAGCTACAGTGGAAATCACAGACCAGAATGGTCTGGGAAAAAAAACAAGACCCTATCTCCAAAATAACCAGAGCAAAAGGGCTGAAGGCATGGCTCAAGTGGTAGAGTGCCTACCTAGCAAGCATGCTGAGGCCCTGGGTTCAATCTCCCAGTACCACAAACAAGGCAACACCATGGCAATAATTTAAAAAACACCAGACTGGCAGAATGGCTCAAGCGATAGAGTGCCTACCTAGAAAGCATGAGGCTCTGAATTCAAATCCTAGTGCCACCCCCCCCCTCAAAAAAGTCTCCAACACAAAACAAATACAATCACTTGCCAAAGAGAAACAACATTTCTGGAGCTGTGAGTATGGGATTGTGTGGCCAGCTGTCTCAAGATGGCCCACCTGAGGGTCTTACTTTAGCCTGCAGTGCCTTTGTAATAAGACTAGAACACTGTGAATGTCAGAATTGACCCTGCACTCCTGCTAAGCTCTCATTCCAGCTTTCTGGGCTCAAACTGCATTGTTCACCCTCAACAAGCTTCGCATGTCAGCTCCTCTGGTGGGAGTCCAGAAATTTCCAATCCCTGTCCCCCAAACTTAAAAGGAGGACTGCAGAGCTTCAGGGACTGACCTCTCAGTGACCTAGCTGGGGTCTGCCTCAGGCCAGTCCCACTCTGAAGTTTGGCTCTTTCCCATACACCTCCCTCCTTTCCTGTACACCTTCAGTTGTCACTGAACCCTGGACCCATGACAGATCCAAGAGGCCATGTATGTCTGCACCTGTCAGGGAAGAGGGATGGGTTTTTATTTATTTATTTATTTTATTCATATGTGCATACAATGTTTGGGTCATTTCTCTCCCCTTCCTTCACCCCCTCCCTAACCCTCCTCCCCCTCCCTCTCCCCCCTACCCCTCGCTACCCAGCAGAAACTATTTTGCCCTTATTTCTAATTTTGTTGTAGAGAGAGTATAAGCAATAACAGGAAGGACCAAGGGTTTTGCTAGTTGAGATAAGGATAGCTATACAGGGAGTTGACTCACATTGATTTCCTGTGCGTGTGTGTTACTTTCTAAGTTAATTCTTCTCGAACTAACCTTTTCTCTAGTTCCTGGTCCCCTTCTCCTATTGGCCTCAGTTGCTTTAAAGTATCTGCTTTAATTTCTCTGCGTTGAGGGCAACAAATGCTATCTAGCTTTTTAGGTGTCTTACCTATCCTCATACCTGAGGAATGGGTTTTTTGGCTGGAGGAGTTACTTTGCTTGTGGTGGACCAGGTGTTAGTAGGGACTGAATGTCCAACTCATTTTAAAATGTAATGCCCACGGTGATGGTGTTAGGAGGTGGAGCCTCTGAGAAGTGATTAGGTCAGGAGGATGGGACTCTCAGAAATGGCATCAATGTCCTTATAAAAGAAACCCCAGAGAGTTCTCTCTTCTCTTTCTGCCATATGAGGACAGAGTGAAAAGGCAACTAAGACGTGAGCCCTCACTAGAACCCAACCATGCTGGCAGACTCAACCTCCAGAACTGTGAGAAACAAAATTTTGTTGTTTATAAGCCACCCAGTCTGTGACACTTCACTATGGCAGCCCAAAGGGATGAAGGTGCCAGGTCTGGGGGGGGGTTACAAACACTTCTTTATAACTTGAGTCACCTGTGTGTCCCCATGCACCCTCTCTCAGCCACTTGTCTTGAGATTTGAACAACGGTTATTTATTACAACATACTGAAGGTTGGGACAACTCTGGTGGGTGGGGGAGGATCTGGAGAATACTGGGGGTGGCTCCCGTTCCCCCAAAGTCAGATAGCAGGGGAAGTGCTCTTATGTTGGGTTCATAACCTTGCCTAGGACCAGGCTGCTCCAAGTGTAGTCGTCAAAGATCATGATGAGGAAGGGCCGGTTGAAGTGGATGGTGGGTGGCTCCATATCCTGCTTTGGTGCCACCTTCCTGGGGGGAGCAGGCTTTTGTCCCTTCTCATCAAGTTGCAGCACGGCCTTGTGGACCACCTGTTAGGAACACACCAGAGGCAGGAGGTGATCCCAGGACATGTGTCAGGAGACAATGCCACATCACATAGACTCCTTGCTTCATGCAAGGTGAAGCTGCGGTGCCGAGAGAGTCTCTTGCTGACTCCCCATCTCAGTGGCGGCCCCAGGATAGAGCGCAGGTCCGTCCACCTCCATACCCCAGGCTGCACCTACACCTCCTCCCTGCTGGAGGGGCAGACTGTGCCTTTTGCGTGGACATCAGTGGAACGGATGACACCCATCCTGGGTGATCCTTACTGGATCTCAGGTCTCACTCTCCATCCACTCCGCTAGGGAAATACTAGATGGAATTTGTGAAAAGGTCTTGGGCCTACCGGATGTGGGAAAGCGGAGGCAGAAGTTGAAATGCAAATCCTTGACTGTTTGCTGTGTAATTAGAAGGCATTCTAACACCTGCAAAAATGTTTGGCTAGCTTGTTTTGAAAACCTTGGACACATCATAAAGCTGGAAACATTCTTTTCACTCACAACACCTATGTGACAGGAACTCCCCTCAACTGTACCTTACAGCAAGACCTCTGAGGCCCCGAGCTCCCCTGGCTAGGAGGGGACTGAGCTGGATTGAACCCCCAGCAATGGGTGTTGAGAATACGAGGTTTTGAGTCACAGACCCAAGTCAAATGTAAGTGCTGGACTGTATTTGCTAGCTCTGTGACCATGGGCAAGCTCTTCACCCTCCCTTCTCTGAGAACATGGGACAATACCCACCTTCTAAGGAGACAGCTGTCTCTTCTTTCCCTATTTAAACCTGAAGACCTATCATTATTCCCAAAGACAGGGCTAAGGGTCTTTGGTCCCTCTGATACCTTACTGATATAGTGTACTGAATACATTTCTTTCTTGCTTAAAAGAAAAAAAAAGGTGGCAGCCATGTTGCCTCATGCCATTTGATGTACCAGGCATTTTACTTAGCAGTCACCACCAGGGCTGCAAAGCTCTGAATTTGAAGGCAGTGGCCACAAGACACACACCTAGAGCCTAGCACAGGTGGGGGTACAAAGTCCATGTTATATAAAAATGTTTGAATGGTTAAGTGGCAGCATATCAAGCTGAAAGAATGAGTGTAATTGAGTAGGGGCTCAATTCCGATTAGGTATTTGCAATACCCCCGGCCCTCACTTTTTTTTGGCCAAGGGCTGCTCACAGTTTTGCCATAATAATTTCATCTTCCACAGTGTCCCCTCTGTGGTCTGGGAGGATGGGTAGATTGATGCCTGGGCTGTGACCTTCCCTTGTCACCAGCTTCTTGTGTGATCATTTTCTAAGTAAGTCTCTGTTTACGTACTTGGGTTCTCAACCTTGCACCTAGGCTCGATCACAAGTGAACTCAGGGATACCTTACCCTATGATTTTTAATTAATTAACTTTTAGCAGTGCTGTGGTTTAAACTCAGGGCTTCGCGTTTGCCAGGTAGTGCTCTACCTCTTGAGCCATGCTTCCAAACACTTTTTGAAGCTAGGTCTCACTTTTTGCCCAGGCTGACCTCGAGCACCATCCTCCTATTTTACCCTCCCTACTGTTGTCACCACACCTGACTTTTTTTCTTGAAATTTTTTTTTTTTTGGCCCAGGCTGATCTGGAACCTCCTTCCTATCTCCCTCAGATCTTTAGCCTCCCAAGTAGCTAGAATTAAAAGCGTGAGTGACTGGTACCTGGCTTCTTCTGTTTTTTAGTGTGATTCTGGAACCAAAAAAAAAAAAAAAGGGTTCCCAAGACACTTACCTTTGGTCCCTCCAAAGGAGCCCCCTGTGTGATGCCCGAAAGGTCTGCATGCTCCGTGAACAAGTCTGCAATGCCCATATCAGTCAGCACACCCCCAGGTCGTGGGTGCTGGCGATGGAGACCTTCGGGATGCGCAGTTCCACCTGGCTGCTCGGGGTAGGGGGGAGAAGGGAAAGCAGATGAGGTTAGATGTCCCAGTGCTGGCCTGCCAGCTCAGAGAGCAGCATGTCGCCTCCCAGCCAGATACCTGCTTCCTCATGTGATCCCTCCAGCTCCTGCCTCACTGGGGACAGGAGAAGGGACAGGGCAGGAGGCAGGACCTGCTTCTTCCTTCATCACATCAGCAGCTTCTTCTCTGGCTTCTGAATTGCACATTCTTTTCTTCTGGGTGATGCCTTTGAGCTGTCCACCTATGACACAGCCCTGTGATCTCAGAGCACTAAAAACAATGGTTCCTAAAGAAGTTCTTTTGGCCCCTGGAAAGACCCCCTGCTAGAAGCAGAGGAGTAGAGGGAGCACCCAGACCTGGTCCCAGCTGTTTTGCCAGGGCTGTGTGGCTTTTAGTCAAGACTTGCCCTCTCTGTACTGGTGTCCTCTCTACATGTGGTAGAGCTCGTGTCCTGTTGGGGCCCTTGAGGGCTAGAGCCCCCTGATTCTGCAAGAACTTGGTGAGTCAGTTGACATGAAGGAAGGTAAGTGAATCATGCCGGAGTGGAGTGGGAGGGAATACCAAGCCGTGCTGGGCACTTTAGTTCTTATTACATCAAGGCATTAGTTTGACTTTTCTGTTTCTTCCTTTTCCTGTTCTCCAAAGTGAGAGAAGATGCTTAAAACCCTGAAGCTGAGGGTGTCAGAAAAAGCACATATGCCCCCTAGCAGATGGGAGGGAGGGCACAGACCCTGTGTTCACCCAGCAAAAGCAGCCCTGGAGCTCCAGCCTGAGGGTGAACCAGCAGCTAGTGCAAAGTTTAGTTTAAACCACACTGTTCCAAAGAAGTTGAGAAGAAATCAAAGAGGAGAGGGACATGTGACATCTGTAGGTGGGTTGTCATTGATGAAGTTAGCTAATCATGGCTGAATGGGCTTTTGGGGATGCAACCCATTGGAGGAAGTAGGTCTCTGGTGCATGCCTTTGAAGGGTGTGTCTTGCTTGTCTTAGACTCTTGTCCGCCCTCTCGCCACTCCCCAGTGCCCAAGGGTGAGAGCTTTCCTCTTTACCCTGGTGTTTCTGCCTCACCACTGACCTAAGAGTCATGGAGCCAGTCATAGACTTGAAACCTCTGACAAAGGCTTCAAACTAAATGTGCTGAAGTAAATCCTTCCTCTCTTGTGTTGTTCATAGTTATTTTGTCACAGCTTGGGAAAGTTGATTCCCACACTGGGGAAACACCACTGAGAGTGACACACACAACCCTGCCACACACCCACCCACTGCCACACGCACCCGTGCACTGGCTCTGGACCTCAACTCTGTCATCTCATCAGCACACAAAGAAACCTCACAAAGCTGGAATCAACAACTTCTACTTCCAGATTGTGTGACTAAAACTCAGATCAGGCTGAGCAATTTCCCCAAAGCCACACAAATGGGAGGCAGCAAAACCGAGGAATCCAGGACAGCCCTGTCACTTCCTGTCTGGTGCTCCTGTCCCCCAGCTCATTGATGGCCAGATGATGGGGCTGCAGGGCTTGGATTCCTGATTAATGTTGTCACTTTTCATGAAGGGATTTCTTTTTCTTGTTTGTGGAAGGAGGCTAACATTCATGTTCTCTCTTCAACCTATTCCCCTCCCCACCTCCTTCTCTGAAGCCAGAGCTGACCCCACCACTCTTCCTTCCACAGAGCTGGGTTAACCTGAGCAGAACGACCCAGCTTCTGAACAGCCCTCTGAGAGGGTATAATTTGAAATAAAACTATAAACTCAAAACCTACATATGTAATGAAGTAGAAGAAACCCTTGCTAGATTTTCTACTGCAAAGTTCTTTTTTAACGAACTTAAAATGATTTTTTAAACTTGTAGGTAAACACATCACAATCACACATATTTGTAGGTTCTCTTGCTGTTTTGATACAGGTATACATCGTGTAATGCTTACATCAGAGAGAACTTCTAGTTCCCTCAAAGTTTATCATTTTATTTTGAAACATACACTCCATTCTTACCGTGTTCACCCAAGCTTCCTGCTCCTGCCTAACCCGGTGCTCACTGACCAACCTCTCCCTGCCCACCAATCCCTCGGCTCAAAGTCCTTGCCTTGGAAAGTCCATCCAAGCCGAATTTGTCTCTTTTATCACTGCTGCCTGCTTTGCCGATGTGCTTGACACAATCCTCCTGACTTGGTTGGTGCCATCCCCTCTTCACACACACTCTTGGACCAAGTCCTGCTGGCTGAACTGCCACTTGGCCTTAAGGCAGGGAATAGGACCGTGATCTGCTTTGCAATCTGCTCCTGGGAAGAACCAGCTCTCTCTGTCTCCTCTCCCTCTTGCAGAATGTATGTCATTCTACTACCCTTAATTCCTTAATTCTACTGGAAGTTCTCTGCTACAGCCAGTGTCTCTGAGGTCCCTGTCTTTTCCTATTCACTATTCAGCCCGTCACATGCAAAGCAGGAGCTTCCATTAATGAACATTGATTGATTGACTGGATGAAGTGCTAGCACTCCTGAGCTACTCCAGATCCCTCCCCGGCAGCCCCTTTGCCCTTAGAGTCTGCAATACCCTACCTGGCACCTGGTGCCACGTTGGCTGGTGTTTTCTTATTGCTCTGTACAGAATCAGAACAGAACATGAATCTCCTTGAGCTTCTCACTGAAACCAGACCATGTTCTCAAGAACAGCTGCCCCTTCCCAGGTGAGCAGAAGGGCTGCAGACTGACAATCACATCAATTGCCCTTTAGCTCAGAGGTGCTTGGGGAAAACAAGCTGTGCATTCGTTGGTCACTGACTCACATCTCAGCCGATCTTCTCTGAGTGCCTGGGCGTGATGTCCATTGGTGGCTCTCCTCCTGGCCACTAGCCTATCAGCACGCACACCCTCCCTGTTTTGCTTACTCTTAAATTACCCTCTTATGTCCTTACCGCCTTACTTATTTAGTGATGGATTGAAGAAGAATTAGATCTAGTGACTTAAGAACCGTCCATAAAGGAGGCAGAGGTCATTTGCATTGTATTTCACAGAGTGTCCCAGGAATCTATAGCCTGGCTTGGTTTCCAGTAAACAAGATAGCAAAGTGGAAAAGAGGGGAGCGGGGTGGTTGGTGAGCTCACGCTGAGAAGATGCAGAAATATGATAACATAGAGGGTGGCTGTGAAATTCACAGGAAAAGGGGACTTTTTCATTTTTTCCTCTGTGGACTGCCTTGAAGTACCCTGTGCTGACTGATAAATGGATAAATAAGTGTAACCTTAAGGGAGGTGACACAATCTCAGAGTCAGTAGGGACCTGGGTGGGGGGCGGGAGAGCAGTGAGCACTGGAGGGTGAGTCTTAGGGGAGAAGGAAGCCCAGATGCCTCTTTCTGTCCCCTGCTCCGCTTTCTGGGGACACATGTTGCAGCAACCAATGGACTGGCTGCAGGGCTTACCGTCTTGTCAGGGAACTGGACCACCTCTGAATTGTGTCCCGGCTCAGTGCGTTGATGACGGTGTCCATCTTCCCCTGGTCTGGAAGGACGAAGAAGACTGTCCCATTGCCCACGTAGTACAGCTGTACCAGTTGGCAGGGGAGCACCGAGTCATGAAGGTACTGGATGGAGCTTGACTGAAACATCATGGGCACCTTCACTGTCATCGTCTCATTCACGTAGAAATTCATCTCCCTGGTCCTTTTTGGGTCAAAGAAGTGTGCCCACGTGCCTGGGAAGAGGCGGGAGAGAGGGAGGTCAGGCCTTGGGCTGGAAGCAAAATGCAGCTTGGACAGAGACGTGGGCAGTAGCAGAACACCAGGTGTGTCCACAGGAATAAGCTATACAGCAGCCTTCTGCACACCTGGAATGTCCCTGCTTGAGCTGCCAGGGATTTCCAGTAAGATGTGACAATTCCTGGAGACTTAAAGTCTGTTCCGTCCTCTACTTCTTAAATGGGTTGAGGACTAGCTCTGCTTCTGATTCCTACACAGAAGAGGGGAGTTATGGGCCTTGGATTTGGTGCTAGAGCTCAGTTAAACCAGACTTTGACTTGACCCCTCTGGCCTAGAGTGGGGCTCAGGTCTGAGAATGCTTGAAGTGGTGGCAGACCTTGACCCTTGTACTCAAGGTCTGTGGAGGACAGCAGGCGGGAGGTCCATCTCCATGCTGATTATTGGCTCCTGACCCCTGCCACCTGGAATGAAGGTATTCTAGACCTCATTTCCTGAATGCAACTGGGATGAGAGGACTGACTCATCAGGGCCACAGACACCCCCTCTCTTCCCCCCAGATGGTGGGTCCATCACCCAGCCTGCGTGTTTCCCCCTGGCCTTGCAATACCAATCAACTCTGACAGAAAGAAGACTGCCCTTCAGTCAGAGCCATAAGTAAGTGTCTCAGAGCTCTAGACTTGGAGTGATTCGCTCAACTCTAATGGCTGTCATTCTGGATTTTGTGAAAGGGTATATAATCCCACCTTCTCAGCAGGACTGTGTTGAAGCAGAGACTCCAAGATGTGAATGTGATTTGTGAAATCAAAGGCCTTGCCTGAAAGTATGACTTGGATTTTCATGGCTGCTGCTGTTCTTAGCAGTGGTGGATGGGGCCTTTTTACCCTAGGAAGGGGAAGAGGAGGGATACCTTTGAAGAATATGTAGTCAACCATGGTGAGGATGGCTGGGCTATCCAGATCTGAAAACACATCCCCAATTTTCCCTTGAGTCTTATTCTTGATATACTCATTGATCTGTCTGCTGGCTCTAGCCCAGTCCTGGAAATCTATAGCCAAGGCCTCTGACTCATAGTAACGTTTGACATCTGCCGAGAACAACTCCTGCAGCTCCAGGCTTCGATCAAGGAACAAGGCACTGCCCATGGTCATTTCCAAGCTGGTGTCTGACCCTTCAAGGAGGCAGTGGAGGTACTGGAAGCCTTGGTGGATCTCATTTTCTGACATCTCGGTAAGGTTGAAACCCAGGCCCTGGAGAAGCTGGGTCTTCGTGTGGCCAGAGGTACCCAGAGACAGCATAGCCAAGGCCATAGAGATGCTCACGGGGGAGATGAAGATGTTCCTGTCAGGAGCCAAGGCCACTAGGTGCTGATACAGGCTGAAGGCAAAGTCAACATTGGTTGGAGCCAGGCCCCTGGGAAGGCTGCTTGTGCTTACAGTGGCATTGGGGAGCTTAGCCTGGACAGTCCAGAGGCCAATGGTGGAAAGCCAGAGGAGACAGGTGCAAAAGGCGAGTAGCATCATCCCGTATGGCCAGGCCCTGCCAAATCAAGAATGCTTGTTAGGTGATGTGGTGGCCCCTGAACCAGAGGGACATGGTGCCACAGGAGATAGATAAAAGATCCCTCTGGTCCAAATTCCTTTCTCCACATTGGCTGTGTGACTTGGGGCAAATCCCAGCAGGGCTCTGGGCCTCAGCCTCCTCATTTGAAGACGTGAACGATACTCACGTGATTGATCAAATCTACTAAGTGCCCAACATTGATCTAGGCACTTTGCCTGTATTCTCTCATCAAACCCACATCAAAACACTCATAAAGTAAATATTATTAACTTGATTTTAGGCAGCCAAAAGCTCAGAAAGGTTAAATATCCAGCTTGCTGTATATTCAAAATGCTGAAAGAAAAACAAAACAAAAAACTGACAACTAAGAATCTTATATCTGGCCATACTGTCCTTCAAAACTGAGGAAGAAATTAAGACATTCTTAGATAAAACTGAGAGAGGTCATTACCACAATACCAGTCCTGCAAGAAATGAAAGGCATTTCATTTCATATCAAATGATAAGACACTGGATGGAGTAATAAAGATACCTGATAAAAGGCAGTGTGGGGGCAATTATCAAAGATAGTATTGTAATTTTAGCTTGTAATTCCACCTTTTATTTTCTATATGACAAAAGGTTCACGTACAAAAACAATTATTAGTCTGTTTTAGGGTACACATGCATAAAGATATAATTCATTCTATCAGTAACTAGAAAGGAAGTGGCAACTTAGCTATGTAGAAGCAGATTTTTTTTGTATGTTATTGATGCTAAGTGGGTATAAATTCAAATTAAAGTGTTATAATCTTGGAATGTGAATTGTGATCCATATGGTATCCCAAAGAAAATACAAAGAATTTGTGTAAAAGGGAGTGAGAGTTTAAATGTTTCACTAAAAAATAAAACATAAAAGGAGATAACAATATAGAAAATGAGGAACATACAAGCAGTGATACATATAGCAAACAAAAAAAAAGTCAGAGTAAGTGCTTCCTTATCAGCATTTACTTTAAATGTAAATGGATCAAATTCTACAATCAATGAGTGGAGATATGCAGAATGGATATGATGGGTAATTTTATGTGTCAACATGGCTGAGTAAAGGGAAGCCCAGAAAGCTAGTGTCTTAGTTCATTGAGGCTGCTGTCACAAACATACCCTAGGTTGGTATATTGTAAGCAATAGGAAATCTACACACAGTTTTAGAGTCTGGGAAGTCCAAGATCAAGGAGCCAACAGATTTGGTGTCTGATGAGGGCAAGCTCTTTGCTCATAGAAGCTGCTGTCCTGCTGTGTCCTTACAAGGTGGAAAGAGTGAACAACTTCCTTCTGAACTTTTCAATAATGCAGCAGGATTAGGTTCAATATATGAATTGGGGGGGCCATAGCAGCTGGCAAAATATGACCTCTGGTGTGTGTGTGAGATTATCTCCAGGAGAGTCAGAACGTTGAATAAAGGAGATCTAACCTCAGTAATGTAGGCAGGTATCATCAAATCCACAGAGCACATGGATATGACAAAACAGTGAAGGGAGGGAAAATTCTGTCCTTGAGCTGAGATGTCCATGTTTTCCTGCCTTTAGGTAGTGGAGCTCCTGGTTCCTGGGCCTTTGGACTCTAGCTCTTGTACCAGTATTCTTATGCCTCTGGTTTAAGACTAGGATTAGATCATTGGCCCCTCTGGTTGTCAGGCCTTCAGATTCAGGCTGAATTACACCACACACTTTCCTGGGTCTCTGCAGCCATCAGATCCTCTGTCAGTGGCTCCTACTGGCACATACCAGATTTTTATGCCACTGCAGGTCAGATCAGGGCATAACAGGGCAGGGCAGGGCAGGGCAGTGCAGGGCATTACAGTTCCCCAGTGTTTGCTGATCCCTGCTCCTGCATGAGCCCTGGAGATAAAGATGGACTTGTCCCAGCCCTACCTCAAATAGATCTACTATCTAGGCCTGGGCCCTCCCTGCTTGGCCTACCTCACTCCCTAGGAATACCTTCTTTTGTCCTTCTCTTTGTTCCTGCTCCTATGTCACATACAGCACTGGTCACTGCATACCTGTCTGTTATCCCCTCTTGAGCAAGGACCCCAGTAGCAAGAGGCCAAGAACAGGGTGGGCCTCCCCTTCCTGATGTCTCTGGAGAGAAAAGGTGCCTCCCCTCCCCCTCCTCCTGCCGCTGCCATATTTTCCTATGTTAATCCTCCAAGAAGGGGGTTAAACCTTCCTGCCTCACAAGATTCTTTCGAACACCAGTCACAGCTGCCATCAAAACTTGCCTTATGTGATCTTACTTCACTTCATGGGTCATCCTGGAACCCATTTTACAGATGAGAAAACAGCCCGACAAGGTAGACAAACCCATTCAGGGCCAGGCTTCCGAGCCCAGCAACCTGACTTCAGAACCTGTGCTGTGCCATTCCGCCTGTCTACAGAAAGCAAAATAATGAGCAAACAGCTCTGGAAAGTACCCAGTCATCACAAAAGCCAGGGTACCAATATTATTCATGAATTTCATTTCAGGTATGGGATGCCCAGGTTTGGGGCATGTCCTCCTTGTCCCTCCTCTGAAGTGAGTCACACAGTCAATAACCATTGTGTCTTCTCTTTCCACATGTGTACCTATGGGTCAGGCAGGGTTCTAGGCCACAGAACACATGGTATGTTGTAAATAGAATGCAGACGTTTGCCTTGCCCCAGGTCATCAAGCAAGGAGCTGTGTCAGAGGCGTGTGCTGGACTTAGTAGGATGCCTCTGCACTGCACCAGCTGCACAGTCCCCGCCCCGACCCCCTGCCAGCGGGAACCCTCCATCTTCATGGTCTCCTGCACCAATTCATCCCAGCTCTCAGACTCCCACTCTGTGGCTTAGGAGCATCAGTCCTCAAAGCACAGGGCTGGAGCTCAGCTTTGAGGCACAGCCCCTCCCTGCAGGCCAGGACCCCCGGGGATGTCAAAAGCCCAGGTCAAAACCTGGGAAGTACTCCTGGGGTTGCCTCCTGTCAGTGCTGGCTGCTCTAATGTTCAAGGCTCCATTTAAAAAGTGCAAACCAGCAAGGCTGCCATGGCTTTGTTCTAGAAAGCAGACTTGGCAGGGCCAGGAGGCCCTGAGGGCTCTGGAGCTACTCACGGTCTGCAGGGGGCTGAGGCTGTTCTTGTTGGCTGGGTCCTGCTGTCTGGGACCCCAGCATTTGTACAGTAAGCCGGTGGGGGACACTGCCCCCTAAATGTCCTTTTCCAGTTTCCCTGCTGGTTAATGATTAGAGGTGGACAGTGGCCTTCGCCATTCCGGGGTCCCCGCCCCCTCGCCATTAACCAATGGGAGGCTTTTCAGGAAATGTGAGTAAACACAGCAATGCTGCAAATTAACCTTCCTCTGGGAATTACTCTATTCTCAACGGCCAGATCCAGTGGTACAGTTGATATTTTTAATATAAAAATGTGGCTGGTGTTGCATCAGTGTTTGTGGTTGCCCCTTGGTCACTGGCAGAGAAGTCACAGGTGCCCTGATAAGCATCAACATGTAGACTCCAATGTAAAAACAAATGCTTAGCTCCAGGTGGAGATGGATCAGGCTGGTGGGAGAGACAGACAAGGAATAATATCCCTGACTTGCCATGATTCTCTCATTTAATCTTCATGAGGATTCTACAATTGCATGGCTCTTATGACTTTTCTTCTTTAGATAAGGAAACTGAGGCACACGGAGATTAAGTGAGCTGCCCTTGACTTTCAAATCCAAGATCATTCAACTCCAAGGTCTAGCGAGCATTCACACTTCTGCACATTTTTATTCATCAATTCTCTGTTGTTGCCAGGCATCAAACTCAAAGTATTTTAAAGCAAAAATGAATATTTGTTGGGTTTCCTGAATGAGAGTTCCAAAAAGTGGAAAGGGCTTCAGGTATGACTTGTTCCAGGGGCCTCAAATTAGTCACTAGATCTCTCCCTTTCTTCTTTTTAAAAATTCTTTATTTTGGCTACAGTGGGGACAAAGGTGTTCACTGAAACTAGGTTATTTGGTTATAGCTGGTTATTTGTTAGAAAAAGGAAAGATGCTCTCTTTTTCTCAGCAGTATGATAGATCATCTGGTAGGACTCTGGACATGATTGCCCATCTGTGCACTGATGCTGATGTCCAGGAGAGTAGAACACTTGGAATGCCCAGTGCCCGGTGAGAGTCCTGGGCGCTCTGCTGGGCTGATGGCACCACTGTTTCCATCCAAGGATGATGGAAGCATTTCCACAGGAAAAGAGAAAAGTAGGGCCGGCACCTGGGTATGGTTTTAGGGCACTGCAGATTTGTTAGCACCATGGCCTTTTCAAGTCTTCTTTAAACCAATTTTGGAGTTTATAGTTAGGAATTTATTTCATCTAGATTTTTGGATTAAATACTGAAGAGTAAGTCATAACACATACTGTTATTTTTAAATTATTTTACATCAGTAATGCTTTTCCTTTGGATCTACGTTTTGTTTATGCATTTTCTCTCTTCTCCCATTGATAAGTCTTATTGAGGAAGTCTGTCTAACTTTTTCAAAGACCCAACTTTTAGTTTTATTACTGATTTTCTTAAAGTCTATATTTCATTGGTTTCTATTTTTAGTCTTTATTTTCTTACCATTTAAAAAATTCTCTGGGTATTGATCTGTTTTCCTTTTTCAATTTTCTTGGGATAAATGCTAGGCTTCCTTACTTCTTAAAAAAGATGTTCGGCCTCATAAGAGAAAAGACAGTAAGATGAAGCAGTATAAATTATTCATTATTTTGGTTAGGTTATAAAAAATAATTGTTTGCAACAGACATGACTGATAGGCTCAGTTTTTTTTAAATACATGCAGGAGGATGTTTCTTGAGCAAAATGAATGAAAACATAATATAGTTCCATTGTCAGAAAAATTCCAGTCTCCATATAAACATAAAGTCAAAAGTTTTCATTGAGAAACTGATTTAGTTATGTCGCAGACATTTTTGACA